ATAATTAATAATATAATGAAAATTAACAAAATGTATTTTAAGGATATATTCCCTATTATCTTTAAAAGACTTGGAACATAAAAGGCATTGCATGGCACCAAAGGCATTTAGAATAAAAAAATATTTCTCGCAGGGCATATTTTGTTTTGCGCAATAGTCTTGCGCGATGTTAATTCGTTGCTGCCTCGACAACGACTGAACGATAGAGCGTAAGCGTACGTGTGAAGTTAGTGTGCAAAACTTTGCTATGAAATGCCGACCACTGCATTATAATCAGTAACCACTCCCCGTATTCGACTGTTATGGCACCGTGCGACTTCTTCCTTTTCGGCAAAATACATTTGCCCGTGAAAGGAAAGCGTTATGCAGACGTAAAGGTCATTCAAAAGGCTTGCAATGGCATACTGGCGGCCATACCGGTCAACGAGCTAAAACACTCGTTCGACATGCTTTGGGACCGTGCTAAACGCTGTATTGAATGAGAAGGAGACTATTTTGAATAAAATAAATTGATTTTGCCGAAAAAGCCATTTGATCTGTTTCTTTAAGTCCTGTTTACATTAGAACGCAGCTTGTATATAATATCAATAACTTCAAAATTTTAGTGTTTAGAATAAACTTCCGTGTCATTAAAATATGAAGTGTTTTGAACAGGGCCTTTAGCCCTGCTTTGAACACGTCTACCCTGAACTTGCAGGTAGTTTAACAGATATTATAATACTAAGTTAGAATGTTATAATTAATACGTTAAATAAATACTTAATTTTCTTAAATGTCAAAAGACAGTTATAGCAAAGTGAAATTATGCTTATAAAATACACATTTAAATAATTTTATTCTTTAAAAATCATATTACTTTCAGCCTTATCACGCAATCCATCATATGCTGTTTCTTCGGGTAAGCTATCATACAAATCGAATAATTCCGAACGTAAGTTCCAAAAACGTAGTGTGGCAGTTCTTCTACTTCTTCTTAATTGGCGTAGACACCGCTTACGCTATTATAGCCCAGTTAACAACAGCGCGCAATTGGATTCCAAGCATAGCCAGGTCCTTCTCCACCTGCTCCTTCCAAAGGAGTGGAGGTCTTCCTCTTCCTCTGCTTCCCCCGCGGGTACAGCGTCGAATACTTTCAGGGCTGGAGTGTTTTCGTCCATTCGGACAACATGACCTAGCCAGCGTAGCCGCTGTCTTTTAATTCGCTGAACTATGTCAATGTCGTCATATATCTCATACAGCTCAACGTTCCATCGAATGCGATATTCGCCGTGGCCAACACGCAAAGGACCATAAAATTTCACAGAACTTTTCTCTCGAAAGTCATCGTCCAAGCCTCTGCACCATATAGGACATAGATATAGATATCAATATCATCGGCATACGTCAGCAGCTGTACACTCTTACAAAAGGTTGTATCTGCTCGATTAAGTTCTGCAGCTCGAATTATTTTCTCCAGCATCAGGTTGAAGAAGTCGCACGATAGAGAGTCGCTTTATCTGAAACTTCGTTTATTATCGAACAGCTTGTATAGGTCTTTCCCAAACCTGACGGAGCTTTTGGTGTTGCCCAATGTCAATTTACTCAGCCGTATAAGTTTTGCGGGAATACCAAATTCAGACATTGCGGCATAAAGGCAGATCCTTTTCGTTCTGTCGAAAGCAGCTTCGAAATCGACGAGGAGGTGATGTCCGTCAATTCTCCTTTCACGGGTATTTTCCATGATTTGGCGCACGGTGAATATCTGGTCGGTTGTTGATTGCCAGGTCTAAAGCCACACTGATAAAGCCCAATCAGTCTGTTGACGATGGGCTTTAATCTTTCACACAATACGCTCGAAAGAACTTTATATGCGATGTTGGGGAGGCTTATCCCACGGTAGCTGATGCAGATTGTGGGGTCCTTTTTTTATGGATTGTGGATAGCACACTTAAATTTCAAACTTTGGGCATGCTATCGTCCGACCATCTTTTACAAAGAAGCTCCTTATCAGTTCTTCGCCGCCTTGTTTGAATAGCTCGCCCGCTAAGCCATCGGCTCCTGTATCTTTGTTGTTCTTCAGACGGGTAATTGCTGTTCGAAGTTCTTCATGGTCAAGCAATGGAACGTCTGCTCCATCATTATCGATTGGGGAATCGGGCTGCCATTCACCAGGCTGGATAAGTGTTCCCTCCATAATTTAAGTATGCTCTGATCATCGCTGACTAGATCACCTTTGGGGTTCTGCAAGAGTATGTTCCGGTCTTGAAACCTTCTGTAAGCCACCGCATTTTTTCGTAGAATTTTCGAGCATTACCMCWRTCGGCCAGCTTATCAAGCTCTTCATATTCATGCATTTGGCCTCTTTCTTTATCTGTCTGAAAATGCGTCTCACTTCCCTCTTTAACTCTCGGTATTCATCCCATCCCGCACGTGTTGTGGTCGATCGTAACGTTGCGAGGTAGGCCGCCTGTTTTCTCTCCACTGCGGCAGGGCACTCCTCGTCGTACCAGCTGTTCTTTTGCATTTTCCGGAAACCAATGGTTTCGGTTGCAGCTGCACGTAAAGAGTTTGAAATGCCGTCCTAGTTCCCTTATACCGAGTTGTTGACGAGTGCTCTCAGAGAGCGGGAGTGCAAGCTGAGTAGAAAATCGTTCGCCTGTCTGTTGTGATTGCAGGTTCTTGACGTCGAACCTTTTTTGTGTTTGTTGGCGTGCGTTTTTTCTGCACAGAGGCTGGTGCGAATCTAGACTGAAAAAAGATAGTGGTCCGAGTCGGTGTTAGGGCTTCGGAGGGCACACACATCTAAAACACTGGACACGTTTCCTCTGTCTATCACAACTTGATCGATCTGGTTGGTGGATTTTCGATCCGGAGACAGCCAGGTAGCTTGATGAATCTTCTTATGCTGGGATCTAGTACTACAGATAACCATATTTCGGGCCCCGGTGAAGTCGATCAGCTTCAACCTATTTGGGGATGTTTCGCAGTGGAGGCTGAATCTACCGATCGTAGTGCCAAAGATACCTTCTTTGCCCACCCTTGCTTTAAAGTCGCCAAGCACGATTTTGACATCGTGGCGGGGACAGCTCTCATAAGTGCTTTCCAAGCACTTATAAAAGGCATCTTTGGTCACATCGTCCTTCTCATCCGTTGGGACGATATGTTGAAGAACCTCGCTTTGATGCGAATTGTGGCGAGACGTTCATTCACCGGAGTGAATGATAGTATTCGGCAACGGAGTCTCTCTCCCGCCACGAATCCCACACCAAACTTGCGCTCCTTTATATGGCTACTGTAGTAAATGCCACAAGGACCTACTCGTCGCTGTCCTTGTGACGTATATCGTATTTCTTGGACATCGGTGATGTCAGCCTTCATTTTCACGAAGACATCAACCAGCTGGGCAAAGGCACCTTCCCAATTAAGGGACCGGGCATTAAAGGTGCATGCCCTCAATTCGTAGTCCTTATTTCGTTTGCCATGGTCGTCATCAAAAGTGGGGTCTCTCATACGAGGCTGGTTGTTCCTTTTCATTGGGGGTGTTTTTTTACGAGGCGGGCCCCAAACCCAGTGCACAACCCTATGCAGGGGATATGTCGCCTTCTCACTTTAGCTCGTCTTCAAACGGATGTTCTGAGGCTACCTAGAGGATACTTGGTCAAGGACCGGAAGTCGTGAGCTGCTTGAGTCATATTTAAAAGAATCATTTCTGGCCACTCCTAAGTGAATGGCGATCAGAGAACTTTCCTCACTTGCGTGAACTTCTACACATGACTCCATTCTCCTAGGCAGTTAGTGGATCCATATTTTATTGTTAAATTCAATTTTAATAAATTTCAGTTTTATTTATCAAAATTAAAATTTTTTTCTACCCTGCATATTTTGAAAAGGCAAAATTTAGAATGAAGTGGAAAAAGAAATAATTTATTAAAGGCAAACTCTTAGTGTTTATAGTTATATTAGGTTGTCAATTGTGTTTAAACATCATTCGTAATTTTTTTGTTATACAAAATATTTTATATTATATTTTGCATTTGGGAAGCAATTGCCCGATGCATCTCAATCTCTATCTGAAACAAATAATTCAAAGAGATTCATATTTGTTAATTTTAATAATAAACTAAGAAAATTTCAAAAATAGTGTAAAATTCTACAAGATTTAGAATATATTCAAACTTGACTATTCTTAGTTTTTTTTTGAGTTTAAATAGAAGATAATTTAATACCAAAGATAATCAACTTTGCCCCAACTCCAAATGGCGTATAGTTTTTTTCTATCCTGTCCGCCAATTAGGAAAATTCATTAAATTGAAAAACCGAGAAATCGCGCGTCAAAACCCGAGCGCTCATATATCTGTTAGACGCTCGGCCACTGTTTCCCCTCTAGCCTAAACAATATTTCGTATTTCCTTACATACAGGTAAATTGACAACAGTGACTTGCAACTATCCACTTACTCGATAAACTTTATATCAATATAAAGATAATTATATATATATAAAGATATGTATAAATATCGTACTATGGTGGGATCTTCTACTATTCGCAAGTATTCAGCCGGATGAATATTTCGGTTTTTAAAAATCGACAATCAGGTTTATCGCGTAAGTGGATAGTTGCGAATCACTATTGTGAATTTACCTGAATGTACCTGCCTACCTAATAATTGCACCGGGAAAAAGAAGACAACCCAGTGTTTGCATATTCTATAAGCTATATACTTTCGATTAGTCTACAGTTTATTACGTAAGAGAGTGAGTGTAATGTTTAAAAAAAATCTTTTTAATTATTAACTAATTACACTTTGCATCACAATTTCCAGTCAACCTCCTCGAAATTAATATTTTAATGTAATAAATTTTATATAAAAAATATTTTCATCCCGTAATACGATGGGTGATGGTCGTACTATGGTAGGATCTTGGAGATCCGATCTCCTACTGTTAGCTTTGCTACGTTGGATTGCGTGATATGGTGATTAGAAAAAGATTTCTAAGATCTGTTCCATTCCATATTTTTAGGTCGTGTTGATAAAATTGAAGAGACTTCCCCAAAACGCTACACTACAAAATCGACATTAAATATAAAACCAAGTGCAGATGATGATTTTATGGAATATACCTGTCAAGCGAAGCATAAAGCGTTGCCTCCGGATATGCCGTTGCGGTCGACCGTTCAGCTTTCCGTTCTCTGTAAGTAAATAGTAGTTTGAAATGAAAGAAAAATATTTACAATTTGATTTTAGCCTATTAACGTTTCTGTAAACCCTTATGTATAAATAAATTTAGAGTATTTGAATTGGTCATTCATAAGAAATGGTTTCATGCTCTTATAACCTAACGGTGTAAATATATATATAGTATAAATGATCAAGACGATGAGAAAAGCCCGTGCAAGCGATACATTGAATAAAAATTAGTAGATGGTCGTAATCGGGCCACTGCCACCTCCACAAAATGCCATTAATCAAACCAGTGCCATATCTAAGCACAAAATAAAGATACAAAAGTGTAAATTGGCACAGACAATTAAAGTAGCATCTGCGGACAAAAACTGTTGAAAAAATTAAGTCAATTTCAACCAAATTCGGTAGGTAATATTATCTTGATATTCGTATATTAAAATTTAAATTCAAGGTGATTCTTTCACTTTTCGGCAATCAAGAACCAATCATTGTATCCGGATAAAACTTTGCACGAATAGTATCTATGAGATGTGCCACCATATAACCAATAATTATTCAAATCGTACTAAAACTGCTCAACCCTTATGTACCGAATATGTGTTCCAGTTCTTACTGCGAACTTTTTATCTTCTTGAACAGTGGTAAAGCTTATTATTATTATTATTTATTAGAGTAATATGAAATACTAAACTAACTTGAGTAAATACACACTAGCTACGAGGGCCTACGGTGCGATTAAATGTTTACAATTCCTTTTTTTTTTATATACGAGTGCTGTTCTTATATTCTGTATTTAACATATTTATATTGTAATATATTTGATTTGGTTAAAACTGGTTTAAATTTTGCTGCTCAGATTAATATCGTTGATATATTTTATTACTTTTTTAACGTTTCCGATGTTAATTTCATTTAGTAGAGCTGACGGTACAGTGGTACCAAAATTCTTTGCTCGAAGCGCCGATAGGTTTGGGCAATAGTCCAGGATGTGTTGGACAGTTAGGCGGTTTGGACAATACGGGCATACAGGTTGAAGAATGTTAGTAAAGATGATGATAATGGGACCAGTCTGAAATTTGTTTGTTACGGAGGTGTCTATTTATCATCTTCTGTAAATCCTTGCTTAAAAGTTAGACATGGTGTTGAGACTGCGTTTTTGGCCGCTTCGTCAGCAAACTCGTTGCCTGGGATGCCCTTATGCCCAAAAGCCCAAAAGATTCGGAGTTTCAGACATACTATCTGTGCAAATAACGAAGTGCCCTTTGTTTTTAGTTGCAAATTCTGCGGCTTGTAGTACCTCGACTGCTTCTGCTGTACAAATAGAACAGTGCAATGGGAGCTAACCGGTGTTATGAGTGTTCCATTTTGGTGCACTACACCGAATGTTGTACTGTGGTCAGTTTTTGATCCATCTGTAAATATGGGAATCCAATTGATCATCTGCCTACTGTTAAAGTGCTCAATGAGTAGTTGTTTAAAGCATTCGTTACTTGTGTGTGCTTTAGGGTAGGTGTGTAAAAGCTCGGATGCAGAAGATTGTGGTAGCGACCAAGGCGCTTGCTTACAAATTTGATTGCCCATTGGGGGTATTTGAATCTCTAGTTCTTTGTAATAGGATATGCACCGACGAATAGTAGATTTGGTGGAGTAGTTGCGTTTGTGGGATGCAGCGTGACGGAATATGTTGAATAGCGTTTTATTTGTGGTATTAATAAACTTTGGGATCAGATTCCACGTAGCGAGGTCGCGCCTTTCAACAATGGAGGGGAGACCTGCTTCTGCTAACATACATTTAACTGTTGAAGTGGAGAAAGCGTTCAAACTACGTCAAGCCGCACCACCCGTAAATAGGGAGTCCATAATCTATTTTTGATAGCATTTTTGGTTTTTTAATGATAAGTATTTAATAATATTAAGCCTGGTAGTTAGACTTTTTCTTAACTGCTGACAGTGCTCTTTGAAAGAATATTTAGAATAAAATACAATGCCTAATATTTTTAAGTTTTTTACATTTTGAATGTTAGTGAGCTCAACATTGATATCAATTGCGGGGCAGCCTTGTTTTCGACAGATGTGCAAAATTTTGCACTTTTCATAAGCAAGGGTGGCTCCAGATCTTAATCCCCATTGTTTGAGTTCGAGTAGTAGCTTTAAAAATGTATTTTTAAGGCGTCGTCTGCATAAATATTTAAATTGATATTTTCGTAGTTTATTGTTATTCTATTTATTTGCTCAAAGGCTATCATAAATAGGACAACCGATAAAGGGGAGCCTTGGGGTATGCCGTTATTGAGTGGAAAAGGTTTTGAAAGCTGTCCGTTGATATTAACTTGGAATGCCCGTCCAGTCATAAACGATTTTATGACTTGAAATATCTTTTTCCCAATTTTCCACTCTTCGAGTTGATTTAAAATGACATGAATGCCAATGCGATCATACGCTTTTTCGAAGTCAGTAGCTAACACTGTGATGTGATGAGGTTGAGAGCGTATCGGCGATAAAGTGTTGTAGGTGGAGGAGTGTGTCAATGGTTCCATATTTCTTTTTAAATGCTGACTGGTTGTGACTTATTAAATTATTTTTCAAGAAAAACTACATTAGGTGACGTATCGCAATAATGGGAGTTCTTGGAATACCAGTGAGCGTCTTGATTCTTGCCCAGATCTTTTGTGGCGATGAGTTTGGATTAATAGTTTCGGTGAATTCAGATATAGATTTCCGTTTTGCTTCTTTGACCCGTTTTTAGAAATGGGCGTTTGCCTTTTTGTAAGCGATAAGGTTGACAATGTTACAAGAGTTTTTATAAACCTGCCAAAGTTGTTGTTTATTTGTACGTAATAGACTAAGCTCGTTATTCCACCATATTGAGCTTGATTTATGCCCCTTTGGGTTGCTTTGAGGAATCGTTTTGTAGGCTGCTGTTCTAATTATCTTGGTAATTGTGGCTGCTTCTTGGTGAATGTTTATAAGGTGCCACTCTTGTATCGACTCTAGACAGTGTGTCTGGAATTGATCCCATTTTGCAAAGTATGTCAAGAATTTTGGAGATCTCTTCGGGTTCTGTACGTTTAAATTATTTTGTAATTCTGTTAGAATTGGGTAATGGTCGCTTCCATAAAGGAAGTTAAGGATTTTCCACCAACATTTAGGACTTAGTTGAGATGAAACCATAGTCATATCGACGTGGGTGAACGTTCTGTGTGTAGAAAAGTGCGTGGCTGACTCGTTGTTTAGCACAATCAGATTCTCCGCGAATTTAACATTTTCTAGTTGTGCACCTCTAGCATTGGTAGTGGCTGAACCAAAAAAGGGACTCCACGCATTGAAATCACCTAGTAGTAGCGTTGGAGCCTGGGTCTGATGGAGTAGATCTCTTATGTCTTTGTCGGAAAATGTTTGACTTGGTGGGATGTATGCATTTATTATTGAGAAGGGTGTGAGGAGATGCATTCTATGGCTATTGATAGAATATTTGTATTTATAGCTACACGTTTGTGCGGAGTATTCCATTTTATTAGTATTGCGATCCGCTGCTTCGCATATCTGTTTTTACTGTCATTATAGAAGTAACCAATATACGTCTTGGGGATTATAGTGCTAGTTACTTGAAAAGGTATGTGGGTCTATTGAAGGCAAATTATATGGGGGTTAAGATCTTTAATCAATTGCTTTAACACATTGTAATTGTTGCCATATCCTTTCAAATTCCACTGTATGATTTTTAATGACATTTCAATTGTAAATAAAATATCAAAAAAAAAAAAAATTTAAACACTTGTTTCTAATATAATATAACTTATAAAATAAATGATAATTGGGATGTCTAAAGCATGTTTAAGTTTAAGTTGCTTGGCACTGTTGTTTTTTTTTTATAGGTGAACGTCTCAGTACGCTGGGACTCCCTTTGCTTATTGCTCTATTCATGGTATTTGTTGTAGACGTAGACGTGTCGGTATCCATGTGGTGATCTGCTTCTTTTTCAGTTTCTGTTTTCGACGTTTTCTCGCTACCGTAGTTGTTGTGTTGATTTAATGTAACAATAGTACGATCTTTTGTTGAATTAGTTGTTGTTGTCAGATTAGTTTTATTTGGTGGCTGAGCGTTGAGTTCTGTTAAAAATTTTTGCTTTGCTTTGACGGTTTCTTGCGTAATATTAGGCGCTTCTGAAGTAGAGTTGTTGGAATCAAGCAGATTATGTGTATTTACTTGTGCTGTAGAATTGTCCTGTATTTTTGTTGTTTGGGCGAATGAAACGGAATTTGTGACTGGGTTTGGATTTTGTATTTTGTGTAATTTTAACGCCTCGCGCATAGAACATTTTTTCTCAGTTTTTATTTTGAGAATATTTGGGGAATGTGTTGGCCGAGGCTGCATGTTCTCCGAAACAATTTGCACATGATGTTCTGATGCAGTTTTCTGGTTGGTGGGGAGGTAGGTTGCAAGAGACGCAGGCGGGTGCGTTTTTGCACATTCTCATTGTATGCCCATTTTGCATCGCATCGGGTTTGGAAAATATGGCCGCACAGTGCATATTTCCCAGGCTATGTCAATTTTTTCCGGTAAAAAATAGGTGTCGAATGATAGTAGTACTGCTCCGGTTGGCTTTACGACTCCTTCAGTTATGCGCGTGAACTTGTGGACGTTAGTGGCGTTGTATTGATTGAATTCTTCAATAATCTCGTCCTCTGGAACTTGATTTAAGAATGGCGTAGAGGAGTAATTTTGTTTATTTCTATGCTTATAGCCAGAAGTGATTTGTGCACCGCAAAAACGGAGTAGCTACTTACTGGTTTATTTTCGTCTTTAGATTTTATCACAAGAAATTTGGGGCTATCTTTTTTTGTTACAGGCAATTCTTCAATACCGTTTGCTGGTTTTTTCGTTTTGCACGAGGGCTCGGTGACAATAGTGCAAATCTATTGCCCCCGAGTTATTGGGGCCCCGGGGACCATCTCATATCAAAAGTTTAGTCAAGCACGTGTGTTTACAAAGCACTAAATGTATAGA